AGAACTGCATCTACCACCATGTCCTGTCAAAACTAAGAAACTTGCAAAACACCACAAGTTTTGGTTGATTGCAAACATAGTTAGTGCAGTTGTTTTTCTTCTCATACTGTCATTTATTTTAATAATCTGCTAGATGAGGAAAGAAAGTAAGAAACCATCAGTGGATTCACCAGAATTGACCAACTAGCTAGAGTTTCATACCGAAGTTTGAACAACGGAACTAATGGTTTCTCAACTACAAACTTGATAGGATTTAGAAATTTTAGCTCTGTCTACAGAGGAACTCTTGATTTAGAAGACAAAGTCGTTGCCATAAAGGTCCTAAATCTTCAAAGAAAAGGAGCTCACAAGAGTTTCATTGTTGAATGCAATGCACTTAAAAATGTTAGGCATCGAAATCTTGTTAAGATTTTGACATGTTCTAGCACAGATTACAAAGGTCAAGAATTTATAGCTCTAGGTTTTTAGTACGTGAGAAATGGAAGCTTGGAGCAATGGCTGCATGCTACAACATTAAATAGAGCACTCAAGAACATTGAGCCTTGATCAAAGATTAAATATCATGATTGATATTGCTTCTGCATTGCATTATCTATATCATGAATACGAGCAATCAATCATTCACTGTGACTTGAAGCCTAGCAATGTCTTGCTTGATGATGACATGGTTGCTCGTGTTAGTGATTTTGGAATAGCACCACTTCTAAGCAAACAACTACAACTGGAATAAAAGGCACGGTTGGCTATGCTCCCCCAGGTATTATGTAAACTTTTGAATAGGATTTTTTTTTTTTTATTTGTTCTCTTTTATTAAGAACTTATTTACTAATGAAAGTTTTATTTCTGTACTTTTATTTATTCTTTTGTCAATCCTTCAAAGTTATCTTATGCGTATGTATGTAATAATTCATGGAGTAATGGATTCGATGTACTTTCTGTACTTTTATTTCCCATGATTTGGTCAATTTTAGTATTATTTTTTGCAGTCCATATACTTTTCTTTAGTTCCCAGGATGCACTGATTGTATTCTTTGCACAGACAATCTCTCTATCGAAAGGAATTTCACATTTCCTAGTCCAAGTTCTTGTGTAAAATCATGTTGAAATATTAAGATAACAGGAAAAGATGTCAAACATATATGCAGAGACTTTTCAATCTATCCAAAGAGTGGTACTTGTAATTTGTAAAAACAATAAATGAATTCAGAAACAACTTTTCTAGGATACATACAATAAAAAAACAATTTAATCTAGTGATTGTCTGTCTGTTTGAGACAAATCATCAAACGTGACTGAAAATATAGACTATGAAACATTGTAGAGATCAAATTCCATTTTCTACTCGTCCATCACTTTTTAATTATAATTTTAGTTGTTTGTCTTTCTCATTAAACGTAGCTTTTAGCGAAACAGCAGGTACTTTTATTATCAAATATGAGCACTATGTTCTATATCATCAGTTGTTTCAATGTACTTCAAGTTTTGTTGTATGTTACTCAAACTGAGCATAACTGAGTTTTTTCAGTACTCATGAGGCCTAAACTAATTTAATGTCATTTCAAAACCCCTTACTTTTGTAACCATGTGAACTCTTAATATTATGCAGCACGGTTAGTTGAAACACCACTTCTCTTATAGTTCTTTTAGAGTCTGCTCTGTTAAAGTCAATTAATGAATTCTTTTCATCTGCATCCACTGATTTTGTTGTAGTTTCAGAATTAGAAATACACTAGTGCAAGTCATGACAAAACCATTAACTGTTTGAAGACTGGTTAAAGTGAGTCGTGTCATATATATTTGACAATTGTTCTCATTATATATATGACGATTTCTAAACAAGCAATCATTTAGTAGTCCTCACTGTTTTCATGCTTATGGTTATCTAATATTTAAATATTGAACCAAGTATATCTAATTCTACATTTTTTAGTATTGTTGATCAGGAACTGGTTGAAGAACAATATTTTCTTGATTGATCTTCTTTGCAGAAGAGTACTATTGGTTGGAAAATATTTTCTTGATTGGTCTTCTTCTTTGCAGGAGTATTATTGGTACGAAAATATTTTCTTGATTGATCTTCTTCTTTTCAGAAGAGTATTATTGGTATGTTTAAGTACACAACCATTACTGACAAACTAATATTGGTATTTTTTAAATAAACATGTTAGGTATCACTATATGTATCTTGACATCTCAGCTAAGCTGACATCTCAAAGTACACTATATTGGTATGTTTAACTATACAACTGTATAGTATATGTATTGGTTGCTACATACCAATTGAAATACCATGACTGATCATTCAAAACTAGGAGAAGACCGATCGATTACGATCAGAATCAGTTAATCATCTAGTTAAGCTAAAGAGATCAGTAATCAGGTTTAAATTGTGATTAGGTCTACCCTAATTATAAGTCAGAAAACTATAAATATAGATCAAAAGTGTGATTGTTGAGACTTTTTACAATGCATTTATTACAACATTAATTACTTAACTGATCAAACCCGAACTGACTTAAACATCGAAGTATCTTGAGTAGATACACTCGATTGATTGGAGAACAGACTGTCCGAACAGGAAGAGAACAACTTAAGAATAAGAAAGGGGAGAATTATTTGAAGTGGACACTTGACCTCATATACTCGAAAACAGACAAACTAATACTAGTAATACTAGTATTTTTTTAATAAATTACAATTAGGTATCATTATGTATTTTGACATCTCAACTAAATTGACATCTCATAATACACTAAGATTACTAACATCGAAATAGTATTAGAATTCTTCCCTATATAATTTACAATGACAATAACACAAAGACTCTAATATCATGTTAGATTTTAGCTTTAGACAAGCGACGTGGGACTTTCCAATATTCTCGTTCACGCACTAACGTGCCCTGCCAAACTAGGTGATTACTAAGAGGAGCTACAGGCTCTTATACCATAATAACATTAAAACAAAGGATGAGACACATGAAAAAGAAGAGGAATATAATTTTTTACATTAGCCCAAATAGAGTCTGAATACACAGGACACTAATATATAAATATGTAGCATAACACACACACACACTTTGTGTATAATTATCTAACAAATATATCAAGCTTAGTCAGTATTCTTTTTTTACTGTATATACACGATGATTACACCAAACTGCAATATCCATACAGCTTGAATAACCCTTCATGATTACACATGCACTTTATTCTCCACTCTTCTAATGAGAATGATTTCTCATATAATGAAAAGAGCTGAAGAAAAGGATGAATTGGCCAGCTCAATTTCACGTGAACTGGTTGTCTAAAACTGTAAATCCATACCGTGCAGCACAGCATGTGCATTAATATTCAAACCATACACACAGACAAAGGCAAAAGATAATTTAAAACTTTTCCAAATGGAATGAAGTAAAGACAAATACACTGCCACGAGCACAACACCGCCATAATGTATCTGTGCTCTTTCGTTTCAACCCCATTTTTATTTCCAAATATAGCTTCTCGGTGCTATTTAACTTGTCTTTCGATTAATTGACTCTCACCAATTTCACATTTTGAAAATCCATACTGATATGATTAAAATGAAATGTAAATTTCAATTTATAAATCAATTTTTGTAAGATTGATTCTATCCAAATTCAAATTTTAAGATGATATTTGAACTTATTTTAATCATTGTTGATTGCTTACAAATATTGTTTTCATGTTTAGGATGTAAAGTTTATATTAAAAGAATGAAACTTTATGTTACAAATCAGTTTGGTGTGATTGGGTTATGTCTAAATATATTTTTCTAGAGTTTTCTGCTACTTAAAAGTCATTATCAATCAACAAAGAAGGACATTACTGTTTCATCCTAGCTTCCAGTTTTATCTAATGACAAACTTTCATATAGCTAGGTTCCACATTTTCATGGACGATAACTAATACCTATTCATGTGATTGAGAGATAGTGAGAGTTTATAGTGAAAACATTTTAAAGATAAAATCAGAAAATAATGAATAAACCTACAGAAATCTGATCCATGCAGGTTTGTTTACTTAAGTTTTTTATAGTATATGGAATACTCCTTCAACAAATTAACTACGTCTTTAGAAAGTACTTGCTGACAGAACAGCTACGAAATTTGTCAGTATATTTTACCATGAAACTTGTTAAAATAAGTTACAAGCTAAATGATGTTAAATAAGTATTTAGTTAAGTTATTTATGCAAACTTAGCTTAAGACATATTAAAAATCTAGGAATAAGGATTTTCTGTGAAGTGAATTTGTTCGTACAACAAATAGGTAAGGACAAGTTCATATTTGAGCAGCAGTTTTTTATGATTTAAAAAAAATACTTCAATTAAATTAAATTAAAAAAAAAACACCCTTTTGTATATTTATCTGCCACAAACTGATTTCTAATATCGAAGCCTTACAGAAGTAACAAAATTTGTGCTCCAAACCATGTAATTGAGTGATCCATGATTCCTTCCACCCCCAACTTGCATTTCATTGAAGTTGAATGAATATGACAGTGCTATCCAGCTTGTTCTAATAGGTCCTACACTTCACGTGCCACGTACTTGTTCCTAATTCTATGGGACCCTCTTTTATTTCTCCCATTGCTTTTAAACCAGTAACAATAAATGTTGCTAGGCCTCAATTTATATTCAAACTCTGATGTCACACTCATCATAGGCTTATTATTTAACTTGAACAAGCTGATATTAAGTTAATTTTATCAGGCATTTTTAGACTCAGTTCTTTTCTTAATTTTCCTCTTCTGAAGGTGAAGATAAGTCAGATATACTTTCCAAAAATCTCCCACAATATTAAGCAGTTTAGCTTTTGTGAAAGAAAAATGAACACATACTTTTTGGAAACAGAAACTTGGTAAATGATGAGTTTACCTAAACTTATGAGCTATTCATGTCACTTTCTATCACAATTTCTTGTGCTTGTCAGTTAGTGTGTGCAACACAACAAAGGGTGTGAAAAGATAAATATTGGCCTAAAAAATCACACCAGTATAACTTCAGGCCAATGCTGGCCTTCTCTATATAAAGGTCCTCATCATTACAAATCTCAATTAGAATTTAGAAGAGAGGTGAGAGAGAGAACACTCCTTGAGCTCCACCCATATCACAGCAACACTCTTGTAAAACTAATTCCTGGCCACGTACATGGCTTCCCATAGTGTTGTAAGATCCAAGAGACTGATGCACCGTGCAGCCTCTTATGGAGAAAGAGGGAGCCTTTGCTCACTGTCTCATCTCCAAAACTATGAATATCTCCGAATCCAACCCCAAGGTAACTTCAAAGAACATCATACTAACAACATGGGACGTGAAAAGGGTACAAAACGTGGCACGAACCGAGGTAGACAACAAGCACAAAAGCTTCACAGGTTGGGCTTCTCGTACCTTGCATCTTCTTTTCTTTACATAGTCATAAAGGTTAAAGCCTTCTACAATGGATTCCTTGGAGAAGTTTCTGGTGAGGCAAAAACAATGAGCATTGAAGCACCAATGACTACTGAGACATACTTCTCAGTGCCAGTTCTTCCAAATTAATACAGTTCCTCCCTCAGTAGGGGCAACATGCATGTTCTCATGTCTGGTTCACTACTATGTTGGAGCACATAAAGCAGAAAATAAAAAATGTCCCGATTGTTTATATTATTAAAATTGAGTAGAAATTTGTAAGCGGGTTCTGACTGGAGTTGCACTTCTATGGGCAGGTTTCCTGAGAAGTTCCCTGCTGGATTATGAAGTAAAAATACATTTTTAGGGAACTAATTGTAATGATGTAATAAATAAAAGTTGAACAAATGTTATGTTGTTCTACATATTGGTGACTTTTTTTTGCCAAAAAGTTGCTGATGTGCCAATTAACTACATCAGTATATGTGTGTTAATTAAGATGAACTAATTGCACCACTAAAACATTGAATACAAATATGTTACATTTTGAAAGTTCTGAGAAAGTCGAGATATTTGAACTAAGACTATATTTTTAAGAATCGTTTCAAGCTCAGAGACTGTGATTTGATTAGACCAGCAAACGTTATTCCAGAAGATTCAGAGACACATTTACATTGTTCCAACTAAACTTGAATGTGAGATTAGCTAGCCCACATATATTCTTTTTCTGTGTGAGATCAGAATAAGTTCACCAGAATTTGTAGAAAATTCCAGAACATGGACTAACATATGCCATTTCCCACTATGAGACGAGTCATGAATTTGTCACCACTCTACTTGATGGATTTGTTTGGCTTCTTCATCAGTGGAGCTTTCTGAAGAGAAGGAAGCATGACATAAAAAAGAAAAAGCTAATACAAAAATAAATTTAACAGTAATTAATGTATGAGATGGAACATGTCGATTCTCATCATCCAATAGGAGAAAGAAAGAGCAGTGTAAGACTAATAATAACAGCACATGTGGAAAACACACCCCAGCAAAAGATGAAATTGAAATGTTTGAATCATGAATGTGTTAAAAGTGAAGATTAAAATTTGGGTGCCTTGTTTGCCGTATAGATAACGGTTGATGAGCACTCAAAACTCAAAACGTGAAACTATATTATGAAAAATCAGAGAGAAAAGTTATATATTTACATGAGATTTAATGTGACTAAAAAAAGACAGGCAGAGAACAAGGATGTGAAAGAGATGCTCGTTAAAAGTTAGGATAAACTTGTTTAACTTTTTAAGGCATTCCTTGAAACTATTTTATTTTAACAATGAACATAGTATTTTGGTTACCTCAAGAATCTAGGTCGAGCTCGATTCCATTTCATGGAAGAGTTAGTTGAAATGTCAAATATTTGATGTACCGAACACGGCATCCCAATTAAAGTTTCTGATGGTGACCTGCGATATATAGCCATAAAAGGTACCTCTATCTGTACACACTGTTTCCGAATTCACGAGGGAAAACTTTCCTTTATGTTCCATCCAAAGACAAAAATGCAAGGATTTTTGTTAATCGCCATGAGCCCCACTTCCTCACTTTCCTTCGGCTCTGGTTCAGATTTCGGAGACAGGTAAATGCTATCTATCTAAAGGCTTATATGACCATGTGACGATCTAATTTTTTTAAAGATATGAACTTTCCTCAAACAAAGTCATAATGATTTCAATTGGTATTAAATCTAAGCATTTTAGAATGAAGCTCCCGTTAATGCATCTGAAGAATAACTACTCTGCACACTTCAGATTATGTAGTTTACCTCAATTGATACGAAGCAACATGAGTGATTAAATTGAACCAACCTTTAAAACATGAAAACTGAGAACACAAAACCTACAACACCCGCTCCCCAACTTGCAACTTGCAATGTTGGTGGTCCCAAACGAAACGCGCCAATCATAACTGTTGGTGTCAATTTGTAAGGGCCCTGCTGCAATATATGCCATTGGTGATAACAGTACACTGTGCTGAGCATCACGCGAATAGACAGATGAGAGCCGTCCAACGATTATACACAACAGAGCAAATTAGAACATCTAAAATTTCAGAATTCCTACACCAGCAAAACAAGTAAATTGGTGTCATTATTGCACTGACAATGTAAAAATATAGAGAGCAGTTCTGCATCCACTTCTCAATCTTCCTTCTGCACCATAAATTTAAAAAATTTACGGACATTTTAAAAGTTTACTTTTTTGTTTTTATTTAATAATAATAATAATAATAATAATAATAGAAATAATAATAATAATATTAAAATAATAATAATAATAATAAAATAAATAAAATATATAAAATTTTAAAAATCATTAAAATCTTATTTATTAAAAAAAATAAATAAAATATATAACAAAATTAAAAAAAAATATGTTAACCGTATTTGAAAATACTATTAACATATTAAAATATTCAAATTAAATATGTTAATCATATTTTACTGTTAACATATTTTTTAAAGTTTTTTTGTTTTTAATTTTATAATATATTTTCTATTTTTTAATAAATAATATTTATAAATTAAAATATTACTATATATTTAATTATTTGAAAAATATTAAATTAATTAAATATTTATTATATTAAAAAAACAATTTTTGATTATCAAATTTAAATAAATAATTTTTTAATTTAGTTTTCCAATTAAATATTAAATTTTTAATTTTTTTAATATGTTTTATTATTATTATTATTATTATTATTATTATTAAATGAAAACAAAAAAGTAAACTTAAAAAAAAAATCTTAACTGACGTTTGAAAGCCAATAAATTTCTTAATCCGTTTGATTGATGTATTTTTTACATTTTAGAGATGCAGGAAGATGCAAGAAAAACTGCTCAACAATAGATAGTTAGCTAATGAGTTTAAATTATTTGTTTGATAAAAAAAAAGGAGAAATATAAAAGATGAAGATAGAGAAAAAAGTGATGGGAATAGGTAGGAAATAAAGACAAAAGTGATGTATGGAATTTATAGCCAATAGGAAGTACATTCTCGCAAGGTAATGTGTGTTATGGGAAAACAGTGATATGTGAAATCTGATAGGGTATAGGCAAACATTGACTTTGTAAATCAATTCGGTAGTGTTTAACTGCCAGCCGTTATCGTTGGGCCATCAAAGCATGCCACAATCATGATGAACATCAAATTTCTGTCTCGTATGGACAGGTTCAAAACTTGCACCACAACCATAAAATAATAATATCCAACGAAAAAGATCATGGTCATAAGGCTGAAGGGGCCGGTAACTGATGATGGCCTGAAAAGACATCCGACAGCCAAAATTAATCACTTTGGTTTCAAGATTAACAAAGAAATTTGGAATAGACACTTTTTCCAGTATTCCTTTGAAATAAATAATGACATTTAATCAAAAAAATATTTATCTCCAAAAAAATACAAAACAAAATATTGTCTTAAAATGATACATATGTTCTCAAAATTTCTGAAATTGACTGGCTGAGAATAAAACTCAAACGAATTTTTCATCACAAAACAAGGATTCCCGCATAACATTAGCATTTTGGTGACTGTTAGCCACCTTGCCAAGTGCCTGTGATGATTTTAAGACATAATTCATTGTACATTTGCTCCTCGAGCCTTGCTTGCATCTCCAAAAAGGGGAGGAGATGGAACATGAAGCCTGGTGATTTAAAGAATGTTTACTCCTTGATGATTTCGAACTCAGCACCAATTGGCAGATGATCACTAGGATAACTAAAGTTTGGCAGTCCACCAACAATATCGGCTGCATCAGAGTCTGGAAGCTCAAGAAAACTAATTGGTTTAATGTGATCAGAAGGGGAAAATAAAATATAGTCGAGTGTTCCAGTGAAGCCAGGTGTGTAGTTTGTAAATGGTGGCTCTCCTCTTGTAGAAGCATAGACACTACATAAGGGAATAGGAGGCGACTCGTCTAAACAGTTCAGCACCAGATTTGATGAAGGATTTCCAGATACAAGGTACTGGTAGACCTGAAGAAAAAAGGGGAAAATGCGATCAGTTAGTAAAGCATTAGAGGAAATACAGCTCGTATTTTGAAGGCACATCCATAGCTATGACGAGTAATCAAGCACGATTAAATGTTACACAGACAACAACAAATTCATACAAGAATAGAACTATGACTGTACAAATTAGTCAGTGTTGCACTGGTCATTCTAGTGCTAACTAAACAAAATCTCGAAAGCTTCTATATTTAATATAGTAAAATATTTTTCACTGTGTTAAATTGATTTAGCGATTATAGTCATACTAAGAGTTTTATATTTATTTTTGAACAATAAACAGTTTTTAATCAATTGCTATGAACATTGAATTGTGTACAACATCTTTTGTCAAACTCAGAATTCGTGCGTCAGATCACTTGCATAGTTTGGTCAAGAGTTTATTGAAAAATATTGTAATTCTTCAAGGGAGAGGAGTTAAACTGTGCAACACTCAACTATGACATCCCAGGACACATTTTTGTGATTTCCTTTTCCCAATAACTTTTTTTATGACATTCTTCTCTTTTCCACTGAGGTTGAAGGTTAATCCATGACTATGAATTGCTAGCAGATTATCAGACAGGATCTCTTCAAATTCCAAGAGAAGAGAGTTGGGCTAGATATGACTAAAGCAAAAGCACAGGGACATTAGAATTTAGACAAAAATAGAGAAGTTGAGATTTAAGGAATGCTAGTACCGTGTCTCCTGGCTGAGAATTGAAGTCACCAGCCACAATGACTTCAGGTATGCATTCATATCTATCTGAGACCAGTGTTTTAAATTTTGCCAGGCGGGATAGAAGATATTTAGCTTGTGCAAGCTTGACATCAGCCCATTCAGGATCCCTGGGGAAAAATTATATGTAATTTATTAATTCCACCACCAAAGCTAAGCAAACCCATGTTGCCATACACACAATCCAAATTGAGTTAAACTTTCATTCGAAGACAACAACTGAAAAAATGAAGTAAAACACACATAAGTCACTTCATTACCAATAAAGATGTGTGTTGGCCACAATAACAATATGACGAGAGGGATCTTTGAATTTGAATGCAGCCATTATTCCAACACAATCACGCTTAAGTCTCACACGGGGGTCATTGGGATCTCCACGATCTTCTGTATTCGATTTAGAACCTAAATCAAGAATTTAGTTAATGAAGAAATAGTATACTCTAATCTGTACAGACATCCAAGTAACCTCAAATTCTATGTATCAAAACAATGAACTTAAACCATAAGAAAATAACAAAAGGAAATAGCTAAGAAAAGGAAAACAGGGAACACTGCTGCAATAGAAATGAAGTTGAAGAAATACAATTGAGCTTCCGCCAGTTCATCAGTCATTCAATAACAAAAACCTAAACAGTATATAGAAGAAAATCGAAAATCTTTAAGTATCCCTAATATGAGAAGAAAATCTACATTTCAAACAGATCTTTAATTTCATTTTGCATTTACCATTTTTGGGTGCCACGTCCTTTTGTTTATCAGCATGGACCGTCTGAATATTGGTGTGATCATCATCGTTTGAAGAGTTCCCATCTGGAATGGACTTTACAAGATCATTGTATTCAATTTTTTCCTCTAAGAGCAACTCTGCACTAAATGAAAAAATTTAAGGATAAATGTAAGTAGATAAATAGGACTAGCTAATATTTTAATATTGTAATATTAAATTCTTTTGGAGAGAAAAAAGTAACTAATAGTTAACTCCAAAAGATGAGAGGGGGAAGAGAGATAAAAGAAACAAAGAACCATTCCAATATAAATATTAAATAACCAATATCAAGCAGAGTATGGTTATTACTAGCAAATTAAGTTCGAATCGTTCCAAGGTATGTTGGTTATTGCTAGCAAATTAAGTTCGAATCGTTCCAAGGTATGTGTGTGCATGTAATACACTGACTTTGGAAATTAGATTAGCAAAGTTATTGTAGTTCTCCTCAACTTTCTAAAAAATACTTGTCTCCACTCTAGTTGCAAAACTGTAGCCACTCACAGCCACTGCTCCAATACTCGAGGTAAAATTAAAATCATTATAAATCACTCCCTTACTTTCATAGCTGCAAGCTTATGCTTGTAAAACAACCGAAAAAAATTTGAACATACCATTCATGCTTGTAAAATAAGCCACACCCATCACGCTTCTGACCACTTCTCTTCATATAAATCGAAGAATATCCTAAATTCTGCATGTTTCCTTTGTAA